ATCATTAGATTCGGCCGATCATTATATTCAGTTGATCATTATATTCAGTTGATCATTAGATTCAGCCGATCATTAGATTCAGCCGATCATTATATTCAGTTCATCGTTAGATTCAGTTGATCATTAGATTCAGCCGATCATTAGATTCAGTTGATCATTAGATTCAGTTGATCAATAGATTCAGTTGATCATTAGATTCAGTTGATCATTAGATTCATTTGATCAATAGATTCAGTTGATCATTAGATTCAGTTGATCATTAGATTCAGCCAATCATTAGATTCATTTGATCAATAGATTCAGTTGATCATTAGATTCAGTTGATCATTAGATTCAGTTGATCATTAGATTCATTTGATCAATAGATTCAGTTGATCATTAGATTCAGTTGATCATTAGATTCAACCGATCATTAGATTCGGCCGATCATTAGATTCAGTTGATCATTAGATTCAGTTGATCATTAGATTCATTTGATCATTAGATTCAGTTGATCATTAGATTCAGTTGATCATTAGATTCAGTTGATCATTAGATTCAGTTGATCATTAGATTCAGTTGATCATTAGCTTCAGCCGTTCATTAGATTCGGCCGATCATTAGATTCAGTTGATCATTAGATTCAGTTGATCATTAGATTCAGTTGATCATTAGATTCATTTGATCAATAGATTCAGTTGATCATTAGATTCAGTTGATCATTAGATTCAGCCGATCATTAGATTCGGCCGATCATTAGATTCAGCGGATCATTAGATTCAGTTGATCATTAGATTCAGTTGATCATTAGATTCAGCCATGTCTGTTTTATGACTTTCTACAACACCGTCATCCACTTTGAGACCACCATCCAAGTTTAATCAATAGCAACATACATGCTGACCTGCATTAAGATGTGCTACTGGGCAACATATGTTCTTACTGGCAAGTCATGAACCATATTATAATGAAACTCAAACTGTGTGAATTAAAAACTCAGAACACATTTGAACAAATAACAATTAAAAAATACTTGGCATGGGTTCCACAGGATTTTTCTTTTATCTTTTCACCAAACAAGCAACAACACAACATACACAGACACAGTTTGATTGTGTTAAAGTACAGTGGCGTAGGAAGAGGGGTGCGCACCCCCCCCCTCTAACGGGGGGGGGCAGTTTTCTTTTTAATGGAGGCTGTCATTTTCGTGCAATTTCTGATTATTCTCGTAGAAGGGGCGGCGAAAATTGTGCCGCCCCCCCCCCGGGCGGCACCAACCCTAGCTATGCCACTGGTTTATTTCTATGAATTATTTATAACAAACAAAATAAATAAATCACATCAGCTATTTCAGAAAATATTTCAAATTTTGCATATTTTTAAAGATACCGCATTCCGTCCCATTTGTATCAAGAGATAGTTGCTGAGCTAAATATTGTAATGAGGGGTAATAAGGGGAGAGACTGCAATCAGGTTAGTACAAAATAAAATGAGTAAAACAGAGTATGGTTAAACCTGAAAAATTAAACGCAACAAAACAGCGAACGTGTCGGCAGAAAGCCTTCGTCAGCGAACAAAACAACAGAAAAAACGTTAAAAAAATAAGAAATAGCACTTAGCTGGTAAGTAGTATCTGTGGGCAGCAATTGAAAACTAAAACATATGGTGAACGATATTTCTCTTTCTATTGCTGCCCACAGATACTACTTACCAGCTAAGTGCTATTTATTATTTTTTTAACGTTTTTTCTGTTGTTTTGTTCGCTGACGAAGGCTTTCTGCCGACACGTTCGCTGTTTTGTTGCGTTTAATTTTTCAGGTTTAACCATACTCTGTTTTACTCATTATATTCTAATGACGTATGTGTTATGGCCTAAGCCAGAAGTTCGGCCAGTTCCCGAATTGGCCGGCTATTTTGCACTTTGGCCGAAAAGTGTGGCCAATGTTCGATGTACTGAAAATTGCCAGTGTATATGCTGTAATTGTCGTTCACTTCACGAAGTTCAGGGAAATCCCTGGCCAAAGTTCGATGTGCTGACGCAAGACTAATGACAATGCGAACAGCTTCTGTGTAGTGGTTGAAAAAAAGTGTAGTTCAGCCCCTTTCTTGTAGATCCTGCGGCAGCGATGTCCACGAAATTTGTGGAATAAGTAATGAAGAAGACGAAGGGTACGGGTGGAAAATTACTTGCAGACTATGTCATAATCTTGGTTACATTCTTTCTGACAACATGTCTCTCAATAATCATATTTCTCACATATGTCGCTCTACGTACACCACTATCAATCAGATCAGCTCCACCCGCAACTACCTCATAGTTAGCGTAACAAAAACACTAGTCTGTGCTCTTGTTCTAACTCGTCTTGACTATTGCAACTCTCTTCTGTCAAGTTCACCAAAACATAGAAAAACTGCAGAAAGTTCAAAACTCAGCTGCTAGGTTAGTTCTAAAGGATAAGAAACGTGATCACGTCACTCCACTGCTTCACTCACTTCATTAGCTCTCTTTACAGGCACGCTGTGATTACAAGCTGTCTGTTCTTTATCACGCCTTTGTGTCTGGTTGCTGCCCTTCCTATCTTCCTGAAATTCTTTCTGTTCCCAGAACACGCACTAAAACATATGGTGAACGATCTTTCTCTTTCTGTGCTCCAAAAACAATGGAATTCTCTCCCATGACATATCCGCAATATAAGGACCATCACAGCCTTCCAAACTGCCCTCAAGACCCATCTCTTCAAACACCGACTCATTTTCACCCCCTTTGACTGATAAATTACGCTCGATTCTGTTGGGTGCTGACCATGGCTAGACAGAGGTAGATAGTACATGGGTGGGTGAGTTTAAGCTCTTCACCATTTGTTGTATTTAAATGTATATGTTTCTGTAATTGCTATTTTTAATGTGAAACGAGGTGAGCCTAGGCTTAGGCTGGGGTACTGAGCAGTGAGCCTAGGCCTAGGCTGGGGTACTGAGCAGTGAGCCTAGGCCTAGGCTGGGGTACTGAGCAGTGAGCCTAGGCCTAGGTTTGGGTACTGCGCTATATAAAACCACCTAATGATAATAATCAGGAACAAGAGTTCAGCAACGCCTGCTAGATTGAAAACTCAAGGGGGGAGGTACATCCTGAACACAGGTCGACTACTAAAAAATTCACAAAAAAAACTATTTAAGTTGCAAGTGTCAAATGTTCACTTAAGCTAGAGGCATATTCATTCTACCATAATAGCACATACAATAACAATTTAAAAGTGCAACATGATAGTTTGCTTACATTGAGAAAAAAAAAGAAGAAAAATGGGATGCTGGATATTGGCATGTCAAACACACAAAAATTAGTTCAAATGTTTTAAGCTCAAGTTTAGTATAATTTTTTAACCATACAGAAATATAGATTAGCTTTGGCGACAACTAGGAAAAAATAATTTATTGAATAATTTTTGTATCACAGCATCCCAAAGTATCTTAATTTTGACATTTTAAAATCAAACTTTGATGGATTGTAAAATTTGTACTTATTAATATATTACAATATCCATAGTTGCTGACATAGACAAGTATATAATATAGCACCTTGCAAAATTTTAAACAAATTGGTTGATAGTTTAAAAAGTTATGATTTTTTATGTGAAGTAAACATCGAAATTTTGTGAATGAACGCGCAATATTTGTTTTCATTAAGTAAATTTTCATTAAGTAAATACATACTCTATAAATTCATATCTCAACAAATATTTAATCTAAATTCAAAATAAATACACATAAGTGTGCAGAATTGAATACACTTCAATCTGATATCATTTTTTACTGCAAAATCGAAAAAAGGCTTCTTTCACTTTTTATCAGTGTACCTCCCCCCCCCCCCCCCCCCCCCCCAAAATTTTTTTTAAAGTCGGATGCAAAATTCTCACCAGCGATAGTTGGAGATAATGTACGCATCTATATACCAGATGTTGACAGAGGTCACAGTGATCCACGAACCGTCCTTGCAGCTATATGAACGTCGAGGGTGCTTTCTACAAGCAAGCAACAGAACACAGTGTCATCAAACAACTTTATTCCAGAAGTGAGTTTTCCATTCTGCACGAGAAACTGATCACATTGGCATCCGTGGGCACAGAAAAAAATCACTACGAATCGTCGCGTCTTCACAGTCACTGACGTGCGGCCATAGGCCACACTCGATGCGTCTTCACAGTCACTGACCGGTGACCAAGGCTACACTCTATGCGTCTTCACACTGACTGGCCGGCGGCCAAGGCTACACTCGATGCGTCTTCACACTCACTGACCGGCGGTCAAGGCTACACTTGATGCAATTGCACTACCAAGTGCTCAACAAATCCTTGCCAATGTAAAAAAAAAACTGCTGTGTAATTCGAAATGTCATCAAAGTCCTTCTTGTTGTAACAAGAGATTGGTAATTTAATTTAATAAACTAATTTGACTGATTTGGTAATTTATTATAATTAATAATCAATATAATGTGATTATCGTTACGGGATACAAACCGAGCTCACGACCTTTTTCCTCCGACTTTGGCCGATCGACCGCCCCCCCCCCCCCCCNATTGGCCATTTCCCGATTTGGCCGGCCAGTCCCCACTTTGGCCGATTTTGGGCCTTGGCCGTAACATATACATCACTATCTAACGTAGTTTGGGAACCAAGTGGACAAAGAAGGTGGAGAAGTTGTGAGCCTACATGAAATATCTCCTGGACTTTTCATTTTTAATATTTTACTATCAAATAAAAACATACATATCATGGTTAGACAAACGTGTGAAGCATCGATCTAGAATTCTCACTTATTCAAATTCAAATTTGGCTATTTAAAAAAAAAAAAAAAAAACTTTAAAAAAATCTGTTTCAAACGCTGTTTAAACATAAAAGTAAACGCGAACATTTCAACTGAAATGTTTTAAAATTTTTTACTGATTTCGAAATATATTTGAGAAAATGGAAGGAAAAAAAGTGTTGTTATTATTATTATATATATTATATTATTTTATTAATTAATTTTGGGGGTTAGGGTTGGAAATTAAACAATTGTGTTAAATACTAGAATTATTGCATTTAAAGGGTCCCAAACCTCTCATCGTTGTCACTAGACATACGTGATGTCACTGAGATAGCGCAGCTGAAACTTGTTCTTAATAATGATTTTTTTTTCTTTAAATTAATGTGATCACGCTGTAACTTTTAAGACCAAGAGAATTTCATATTCAACAAATCATTGAGTTCCTTGTTGTAAGGTTGATAAAACCGGTACAGCTGCTCCACAACTTCCTTCTTCACCGCTATGTGCTCCCGTCCCTTCGACTTCCCCATACACTTGGTCTTCCCCGTGGCGCGCATCCTCACACAGTAGAAGCCGCGGCTGCTGTTGAAGTAAAAGTCTTCAGACGAGTAAAACGGCCGCAGGTGCAGAAACCGCTCCACCTGCGTCATTTCCTGCAGAGGGCTCTTCTTGAGACTCTCGCTCTCGATAATGTGAAACTGCCTCCTCGGGAACACCTTGAGCCAGTGGGAGAGGTGTCGGGAATACACGCTGACCGCTACCGACGGGATGTCCATGTTGATCTCCCGTGTCCGGTTGTTGATCACCCAATCCTCGAACGCCGGGAGTGTGGGTCGTTTGTCGACGAGCTGCATGTACTGGGACACCAGGCGGACCACCGGATCGCGGAGGAGCAGCAGGAGCTTGGTGTCCCTGTTGCACCCGTAGATCATCTTAGCGCACTCGTGGTGCTGGAAATAATCCGGGCTCTTCTCCGCGGTGATCTGGCCAGGTCTGGAGTACGGCATCTGTTGAAGGTACCAGGACAGACCCCTCGCCTGCAGACTTTTGTTGTTAAAGTAGTTGATTTCGACGTTGGGCGCCACAATGTCCGGATGTAGCTTGAGATACTCGAGGACGGCACGCGTGCCGCATTTTGACACCCCAAAAATGATGCACGACGGTAATCTGCGCTCTTCTTTGTTGCTTTCATTATGAGCGTTGCCGGAGTTTTCGAGCATAGTCAAATCTCCTTTTAATAGATCTAACTTAAACTGCGTTGTTAACTGGTAGGTACGGGTATTTCTCTTATTGCTCGTTGCCACCAACCTATTCAAGTAAATGCCGGGATTTCTTAGATTTAAGATCTCAGAACAAAAGCTTGTTATCAGTACCGTACAAAGAACGCATATAAGTACCAGCTTTACGCAGTATTTCCTTATCCGTGGGTTGGAGAACATGGGAAGGCGAAATACGTCCAGAAAGTTCGAGAAATTTCCGTAGGAACTGAGGCACTGCTGGGGTCCTCTTCTGGAGACAGCGGCCGTAGGCAGTTTGGCATAATGACTTTGGTTCGCCATGGTGTAAAGTTAAACAGATGCTCACCACTCAGGCAAACGAGAAAGACGTTGTCGCGGAACAACGCCACGGCCTGACTCTACCACGGGACTGTTTCGTCGAAAGTTTCCTGCCTGCCATCGTTAGCTTCTGTCCCTCATTCTGTAACAACAGGTTTTCCAGAAACACAATGGCCTTGGCGATGCTCCCTAAATGTTTAAGTAGTTACAGTTTGGTTTTAAAGATTTGAGGAGGATATGCATACAAATCATAAAATGGTCGGGTTTTAATGCGTATTGAAATTATAGGAATACAAATGGAATATAATTTTGAATTAAATAAATGAATATTCAGTTAACTTGACGCATTCAGTTCTTCATAAAATTATGCTTATAGTTATAGTTCAAGCCTTTCCTATAGGTTACTCGAAACACAACACATTTTTGTTCCAACTTAACGGTATTATTTATAATATAACACATTTCAAAAAAAAAAAAAAAAACATTGTTAGACTTTGAGATCAAAACCTCCTACTTCATTAAGCAACAAAAAAGTCACTCCTTGTTACAGTTCTAAAATACTCACATGTTATTATGCTTATAGTTATAGTTCAAGCCTTTCCTATAGGTTACTCGAAACACAAAACATTTTTGTTCCAACTTAACGGTATTATTTATAATAAAACACATTTCAAAAAAAAAAAAAAAAACATTGTTAGACTTTGAGATCAAAACCTCCTACTTCATTAAGCAACAAAAAAGTCACTCCTTGTTACAGTTCTAAAATACTCACATGTGTTTGAATAAAAAGGCGTTGGGAAATTAAGTGCGAATTCAAACATCGACTGGCAGAACATAACTACACTGTAAGGGTTTTTTTTTTTAAAAATAGTTTTTATGGGCTAATTTAATCGAATAATGGATTATTTGACGTGCATCTTTAATAACCGCTGTAGAAGAAAAGTGTGTGTCTGTTTTTGTGTGTTTATTGTGTGTATGTGTGTGCCTTTGTATGTGTGGCTGTGTTTTTCGCTTCTGCGTGAGTGTCTGTGTAAGTGTCTGTGTGAGTGTCTGTTTGTCTTTAAGTTTGTATGTGTCCATGTCGTTTTGTCTGTATTGTGTGTTTGCGTTGTTGTGTTTGTGTTGGTTAAGTCTGTGTTCTCGTGCATGTGCCACTGGGGTGGGAAAGGGTGCAAAATATTTTTCCCGCCCCGAACGGCACAAACCCTAGAAACGCCATTGGTCCATCTGTTCTTATTGTGTGTCTGTGCTTGTGCCTGTTTTTGTATTTGTGTCTGTGCTTGTTGGTCTCTCCATGTGTGTGCGAGTGTGAAGGGATGTAACAAGGCCTCCCACTCTAAATGAGTTTTTCGGAGTCTTAACTGATTTTTTTTTCTTACGGCAAAGAATTGTTTTTTTGTTTGTCATAAATTGTTGGAAATGCAGAGCGAGAAATTCTTAGGAATATTTCATTAAGACGATGATAACTTGTTTTTACTCTGTCTAACATGGCAGAACTCTGTGACTCAAAATTTAAGGGTAGTTTCCCTTTAAATGACCTTTTCACTCTAAAATCCCCCCCCCCCATTCCATGGCACATTGGTAGAGACCAGAGGTGGGAAACCTACGGCCTGTGGGCCACAAATGAGATATGAGGAGGTCGTAAATCAGGTCCACTCTAACCCAATAAGAAGTTCATTTATTTTCTGACCTGGGGAAACAAAGATTAGAAACATTGCTACTAGTTGAATGCATGGATGTTGGCGTCAGATGCTTGCCGCTCTGTGGTCCAGTTAGAATTACAGACAAGCGAGGTGTTAAGCAGTTGGTTCAGGGCGGATTTGGGGGTGGGGGTGCGGGGAAGAGGTTGACACCCCTGCTAAAAAAAATTTTCCATTATGTCATTTATGTCAATTTTGTAATTTTAGCTAGAAAATGAATTATGTCAAACGAGAAAAAAAATGATGTGTCCTTATTAATCAACAAATAAAAGCTAACTAAATTGTTGGATGCACTCAAAACCATGACATCCAATGACCAATCGTATTTTTGAGTCGTTCATTATGGGGATTAAAAAACGTATAGAGCGCTTGCATTGTCTCTTTGTTGATTTTGATGTGCGGCCTTCCTTTGGTGGCTCCGAGACATCGGGTTTTCCCCGTGGCTCGATGCCTCAGACAGTGGAAGCCTTTCGTCTCGTTGAAGTAGATGTCGTCTGTCGAAAGGTACGGCTTGAGGCCCAGGAACGCTTCGATTTTGGCGAGCTCTGAGAGAGGGTTCTTCGTCAGTTTGTGGCTATCGATGATCAAAATTTGCTTCTTGGGGAAACTCTGGTACCAGTTGTTCACATGATCGGCATAGATACTGACCCGCAAGGATGGGACCTTGAGGTTTATCTCCCCAGTCTTAGAATCGCGTATCCACTGCTCAAAGGGGGGCAGTTTCCGGGAAGTCGCGGCATATTTATCCAAAAATTGCATGTACTGTGAAATCAGGCGATCCACCGGGTCTCGGAGCAACAAGAGCAGCTTGGCTGACTTGCTCATGGCGTAGATCCGAGCAGGGCACTGTATGCACTCGAAATAGTCGGGACTTTTTTCCAGCGTTATCTGGTTCGAGTACGACAGCGGCATCTGATTTCTGTACCAATCCACGCCTCTCTTGTACAGGGTGTCGTTGTTGAAGAAGTTCACCTCGTGATGCACGGCCATGACATACGGGTTCAGGTCCAGGTACTCCAAGAGGGCCCTGGTTCCACACTTGGACACGCCGATGATGATTGCATTCGGTAAGCGGCGGATCTGCACCTCGTTGACCGGAATATCAATGCGGACCGCTTTATCGGCCTTCTCGAAGGCCGTTTGAAAGTCGGGCACGTCGTAGGCGTTGTCTTCCCCGCTCAACACCGACGCCTCTGAATTTTCAGGGTTGTTCCAAAAGACCTTTCTCTGGAAGTCCAAGTCCTGGCCACCGAACTGCTGGCGGTACACCTCGAGTTTTGTCAAAGTGTCGTTGAGCACGGACATGCACAGGATGATCAGCGAGAACAAACAGACGGCAAACACTACGGTGAACATCAACCGAATTTTGTCCATTCGGCAGCCTCGGTGGAATGAGCTCATGGTTGCCATGGACGCCGGACTAGACACAGTATAAATCATGTATCCAGAACTCGAGGCTGAACACGTTGTAATGGATGCCGTTGAGTAAGGTAAGCTGGGTAGTTGTCTGTCTCCTCTTACTTTCAGAACAACGGAACAAAGATAAATACTTTGAGAAAACTCTGGTTTGCACCGGCTAAAACTTCAACACGTAAAGCCGTGCTCAACTTTTCACTTGAGTGACGCGGATGTGACGCAGGAAAACGCTGCCTTGTTGGGGACACCTCCTGAGGCAAGAAAGAGAATGATGAAATCCGTAAAAGAAATAAATGTAAATAGAATTGATGTCCGTACTGAAGTTTGGATATACAAATAATTTGTTTTTTTTAAATTACAAACTTCTAAAAAAAAATTTAAAAAAGAATTTATTTTCTTAATTAATTTTTTAAAATGCATAATAATAAATACTTTCCACTTATTATTGCGCTTAAACTCGTCTTTGAAATTCTTGTTTATATGTCTATAAATATATATTTAATTTCAATTTTTTAATTTCGAATTTTTCATCTGTAATTTATCGAAAAAGAAGAATTATTTAAACAACAGGAACATATGCTTAAAGTGTGTAAACCTTGACATCCGTTGATCCAAGTATTATTGCCGTAATTCGCCCCCCCCAACCCCAATCCGGGGCCCCTACCCCCTTTGTTGGAACGAAATAATCATTTTAAAAAATATTTCATATTCCTAGAAATTCTGGGAAATAACAAAAAATAAAAATGTTTCTTATTTTGTTGGGACCCACTACATATGCAGAATGACATATTTTGATATTTAAAGTGTTCTTTGCATACAGATTCTCGATAAATTGTTTCAAAGCACGCCGGTCTACCAAACCACTGGCGCTCTTACACTGGCACTCCAACACTAGCACTCCAACACTGGCACTCCAACACTGGCACTCTATTACTGGTACTCTAACACTGGCACTCCAACACTGGCACTCTAACACTGGCACTCTAACACTGGCGCAATCTAACACTGGCACTCCAACACTGGCACTCATCACTGGCACTCTAACACTGGCACTCTAACTGGCACTCTAACACTGGCACTCTAACACTGGCACTCTAACACTGGCACTCTAACACTGACACTCTAACACTGACACTCCAACACTAACACTCTACCACTAGCACTCCAACACTGGCACTCCATCACGGGCACTCTAACATGCGCAATCTAACACTGGCACTCCAACACTGGCACTCATCACTGGCACTCTAACACTGGCACTCTAACTGGCACTCTAACACTGGCACTCTAACACTGGCACTCTAACACTGGCACTCTAACACTGGCACTCGAACACTGGCACTCCAACACTGGCACTCTAGCACTGGCACTCCAACACTGGCACTCCATCACTGGCACTCTAACACTGGCACTCCAACACTGGCACTAATTCGGAATCTTAGTCTTAATATAAGATACAATTTTTTTTTACAAATCCAAATAAATGGAAATGTTTTTTGATTGCATTATACATTTTCAGCACATAAATAAAACAATTTGAAGACAAGACATTTATAATAAATTATCTCAAACAGCCATTCAGTGGGGATATAAGGAAAAGAGGTTTTTTTGTCTCTGCGTCATGGGATCGCAATGCCTAGTTGGCAAAATAGGCTTCGGAACTTATCATTTCAAAATTATTATTTTTCTATAACATTCATTTCAATGCTTCCTTCGTTACTTGAAATATAGTTTAAAATAATTGAACCGCACAAATGAAAATAAAAACACATTTATTTATTTTTGTGTACATATTGTTTACTGACTAAAATTGAAGGGGAAAAAATAACGGCTTTTAATTTTTTTTTTCATTTTTTTTAAAATTATTTTTTGAAAAAAACATTTATGATGCTTTATATTCTTTAAAATAGGTTGTTGTTTTTTTTAATCAATTTTTAAAAAAAACAAAAAAAAACTCATTAGTTTATTTTTTTTTTAAATATACCAATACTCACTTGGATATAACCTTTTTTTGTTTGTTTTTGCTTTTTGTGGTAGTCTTGTCTCCTTAAAAAATCCCCCGAAACTATTACTCTGGACTAAATAAACTACATTTTTATCAACATAAGAAACACGCTGGTGTTGGGGATACGTAGCCTGGTTTGGGATTTTTAAAAAAAAATTTTTTATTGGGTACTGGATCAATAGTATACGACCCAGCTGCTCGTCCTTTGTTGTGGGTGCACTAATGAGCCACGTATTTTGTGAAGACTGGAGTTGAAACGGTTTTGCTCTGAGTCCACCGGCCGTTAAACACCTTCCGATGAAATTTGAACCGCTGACATGAAAGACCATTAGTTGTTTGACGAGCTGTGAGCAAGGGATCAGAAGATGGTCATCGATAGCATTGATTTAGGGCAGTGGTTCTCAATTATTATTATTTTTTTACCTGCAGGGCCTTATTTGAATTATTTTCGTGGGGGAGGGGGGAGGGTAGGCCTACTCTTTGACTTACAAGTTAATTGTGCTTAGGAGTTTCCTGGTGCGGCGGAGGAAGCCCATGTGAAGTGCTCAGTTGAGAACCACCGATTTAAAGATTTGCTTTGCGTGAAAACTCGTGAAAAGTGAAAAGCGGGGGGGAGAGGTGTGAGGTTCTGGTCTTCAATCCGAGGTCGATGTATGCTGATATGTTACTGGTCAATGTATTCATATATTGGGTCTTGCTGTTGGACAACACCGAGGTGCCGTGGTGAGAGGTTTGTGCTGTCGGCGCGAGACAGTGGTGTCACCGAAATCCAAAACACTGTAGACCCAACGATGGCATCAAACATAAAGATTATGCATTACTCTTTCCTTTTTCTTTGTTAGCTCATTATTGATTACTTTTTGGTGTCGATGTTTGTGCTCTATGCATTCACAGTAGAGTGTTAGTAGTGCTACAATTCCATTTGCGGGAGAGTGGCGAGCAAAGTTAGGCGCCATGGCGATACATTCCGTATGATAAGTCTTCTTCCTCTTTTCTATGCGCTTTACCGAGGGATGGCGTCACGGAGAAGTAAAGTCGGCGATCAGAAGCAAGGTGTGAGGCCTGCGAGGGATGGCGTCACGGAGAAGTAAAGTCGGCGATCAGAAGCAAAGTGTGAGGCCGGCGAGGGATGGCGTCACGGAGGAGAAGAAAAGTCGGCGATCAGAAGCAAAGTGTGAGGCCGGCGAGGGATGGCGTCACGGAGAAGAAAAGTCGGCGAGCAGAAGCGAAGTGTGAGGCCGGCG